TTTTTGTTTTTTGTTTTGTTTTGTTTTGTTTTGTTTTTTTTGGTAATGGAAACAAATTCTATCATCAATACTAGTAAATTTTATGTAAAACAAAATCGAACGAATACCAAAAGACACTTTTATTTTAACATTTTCAATGTGAAAAATTATACTAATCAAACACAACAAATTTACAATTCACAGGAAAACGATTTCTAGGCAATTCAACTCCTTGGAATTCATTTTCTTTTCATTCAAATTCCATCTTTGTAATCAAATAGACCCTAAGGATAACTAAATAAAAAATAAAAAAATAAAAAACAACAAAAGGTTATCTTCTTCACCTCACTACTCCCACCTTCCAACCCCACTCCAAAACCAAACCCGGAGAACTCACCTCCATTGGCTGATCAATCGACCATAACCACCTATCTCATCGTAAATCGTAAATCACCACCACCACAATCAAACCAAAACTATCACCATCAAACTCGGCTTTTCCATTGGGGAAAATTGCAGCAATTCCGACGGCCACCCAATCCAAAAAAACCACCGGTCACCAAGCTGTCAAAATTTCTTCCCTAGCTGACAGTCTCAATCCGCATACACATCTCACACAATTAATTGGACAAACAACACAAGAAGATAAAAATGAAATTGAAAATCCAAAGGAGTCGCATGGCTTAATCCCCCCTGGTTGTCTCGCCCACTCTATGTGAGCATGTACATGGTAAAACATCATCAAATCAAAAGATAGAGATGGGTTGAATTTTTAGGATTTCGAATTTTTTAATGATGGGTTGGGTTTTCAGGGGCTTCGATGGTTGATGATAGGATGGTAGAGGAAGGTGATGGTAGCCCCGCGAAGAAGGCAGGGACGGCGACAATTTCGGTGGAGAAATGTTTGATGATTGGATTATTCTTTGGTTTGGGAGGAAGAGCAGGATTTTTTTTTATTTTTTATTTTTTTTATAGTTTAATTGTTGCTTTTAAATCAAAGGGATAATTTGGTATGAATGAAAATTCTTCTATTTGAAATGGTCAAAATATCATATTTTTGTAAAATCTTGGTCCATTAATGATCAAATGAATCTATCTATTTGGACCTTAGCTGTATATTTATGAAATGTTAGGAGTCTTCGTTGTCACTAATTCAAAATTAGGATAAAGTCTAAAAAATTGAAAAAGGTTGGGACCGTTACTACAATTCTTCCAATAAATAAACAACTTTTTAGTCCGTTATGTTTTATATTAAAAAAAAAAAAGAAAAAATTAAAAGAATGGGTCAATTATATGTGGTTTTTTCATAACGACGATTTTATTTCATCCCCATGGAGGGAGAATTAATTTCTTGAGTGCATCTTTAGGCCGTTAATTGAGAAGAGCTTGTTCAAATTAAAAAAAATAAAAAAAGTATCCATCAATAGTAAAAAAAAAAAAAAATTCATTAAATATTCAAGAGGAGAATAACAATTTTATATTTTATAGTTTTTAGTTGCATATATATAAACTATAGATTAGATTAACATAAAAACGACTCATTTGTAACATATAGTAAGACGTAGCAAGATTTGATATAAAATGATAGAATCTAATTAATATTGTATTTAAATAGCTTTAAAAACATGAATTTGAAATTGGATGATAATGTTTAGAAATGTGATGAAAAATCAAACTATATAACAAGTAGCTGTAACACATTGAATAATTGTGTTTGATATATAGTTAGAAGTAACATGGGTGAATAGTAGCCAAGGAAGTTTGAAACAATCATGCATTAAGTTGCAATTCTAGAGACGTTAATTTAGACATGCACGAACTTAATGTGAGGATGCATTCCAACCGGAGATCAGATGAACCATAACAATGAAAATTCTGCAATTAACTGAGTAATTATGTCAAGAAAGAGATAAAAAAAAAAAAAAAACTATAATAGATAAAGATTTTCAAAATAGTGTGAAATCACCTCATAAATAAACAATTATTATATTACATCCCTAAAATTAGGAAAACTACTTGAATGTAATGATGATATTAATCACTACTGATATTGAGTATCAATCTAGATGATAATTATATGACATTAAATGATAGACTCTTTTAACCTTTGTTTGAGCACCATTTTGCTAAAAAATTATTTTTCAAAATTTATTTTCAATTACACATTGTCCAGTAAAATAATATTACATCTAAACTCAAATTTTTCATCAATTTTTAACTACACGTTTTCCATCAATCTATTATGTCAAAATACATTATTCCTCCCAAAATAGTACTCAAATAAGGGATTAAATGTAAAGTCACATGACTCATTTAATTGAACCTATAAAGTATAGTCACCAAAATTGGTACCCTAACACTATTTAATGCTAGATGACATTATTCTTAAATTATACAGATATAACAATGAATGATATATATAAATGAACATTATCTGCAAACCTTTCAAAGCAAATGAATAAAAGTTAAAAAATGACTTCGTTTAAAAGTTATTTATAAACATGGACTAGGCTAAATTGGAATTAGAAACCCTTCTTTTTTGAGGCTTTGGAGACTAAACCTGACCTTAATTCAATACAAATTTAGCATGTCTTTGAGTGGTTATGCTGACATTAGATTTTATTTGAGTAAATTTAATCAATGCTCACCCAATTTTAGCCAAAACTTTTTTTTTTTAAAGATTTTTTAGCTACACATTTTTCATCAATACACTATTCAAAAATGCATTCTTATGAAAATAATGTTGTTCAAACAATGGCTATATTTACTCGATTTAATTTACATTAATAAGCGCCTGTTTTGGTTCAATTAAAAATAAATTTTATAAATAATATATATTTTGGAATATTGCTTTTTTTAAAAATATGTTGTTAAAAAATAAGGAAATTTTTTATTTGCTTTAATTTCATTTTATTGTAGAATGTGAGATTAAAAATAAAATGAAAAAAAAAATGTATTCCAAACAAGAGCCAAATATTCTTGTCTTTAATTTATTATTATATTTATATTCCAACATTTCTTCATTGTTTTCTTGTCTTTTTACAATTCTATCGACCAGTACATCTTATCTTTAATGACTATTTTTGTACAAATAATTTGTTAAGCGTGATTTAAAATGAGTGAAAATATTTAATTGTAATTATGTATTTATTTTTCTTATCTAAAAATACAGGAGTAAATAAGTATTTTTATTCTTTATTAACAAAATTTTGTTTGAGAATTGTTATAAAGGGAAAAAAAATATGTTAACAAATATAAAATTGATGATAAAATGAGATGAAAGAAAGTTAAAGATTTTCACACAATTTATTCCCTGTTAGTCTCAATTTTTTTCAAGATTTTTCCCCCTCAAACTTATTTTCAACTATACATTCACACAATAAAATATTTTGTACGAAAATTCAAAATCTCTCCTTACTTTTTAATCATATATTCTCCAAATAATCACTATTCAAAAAATAATTTTCTCTAAAAAACTCTTTGAAAAAGGAGACAAACAAATTAAACGTACTATCTAAAAATACAAATGTGATATCAGTGTATTTTGCTTAAGTTGTATACTTTTCAAGTTAATTGTCTCCAATGGTCACTAATCTTACCTGTGTCTTTGATTGCTCATCAAAATTTAAGATATCGAGTTTTAGCCATTAAACTTATCAAAACGTTGGATGCTATTTACTTGTATAACATCCGCGAACTTTTAATGGAATTAGTGACACGTGATATCCCATCACACTGTTAACAAATTATCATGTTTTTGATTGCTCACTAAAAATTTAAAACGTTTTTCATTGCTCATTGAAATTTGGAAATGTCCTTGATTGTTTACTAAACTTTGAAAAACTTTTTTGATTGTACACTAAAATTTGAGGTGGTTGAATTTTAGCTACTAAATTTATAAAAATGATGTTGACATATTATTTGTTAAAAAATGTGGACCGTAAGTGCATGGAGCACGTAAAAGTAATAAGGTCGACAATCGAGTTCGAATTGTTGATCACACAAGAAATGATTACTCAATTACACAATAATTAAATTTAATTTTACCATATTTTTGTAAAATTTCAAACTATTTTCATCATTTGAAAAATTCAAACTTATTGTATATTTTGTTGTTAAAATTAAATTAAAATAATTTTTAAATTTTACAACAAAACACAAAATAACGTTTTTCAAAGTTTAGTGAGTAATCAAATATTTTTTTTTAAAAGTTTAGTTAACAATAAAAGACGTGTCAATTTCTTAACCGTGTGATGAGGAGTTTCATTACATTTGCCACGTCACTAATTTCATTAAGGTTTGTAATGGTATGTTATGGCTGTGAATAATGTCTAATATTTGGATAATATATTAAATTCTACGACAATTAACTCAATGCTTTTCCAAATAAAAAGTGCTCCTATTGCGAGTTAATTGTTCCGATGGTCATTGAATTTATGTTCATATTTTTGATTGGCCACTGAATTTTAAAATGTCGAGTTTTGATCACTGAACTTAGATCCATGTCTTTAATTAGCCACTGAACTTTAAAATGTTGAGTTTTGGCCACTGAACTTTGAAAAATGTCGAGTTTGGTTATTTAAATCAATGTCTTTGATTGCTCACTAAATTTAAGTTCATGTGTTAAATTGCTCGCTGAAATTTAAAATGTCGAGTTTTGGTCGCTGAACTTTGGAATATGCCGTACATTATTTTGTAGCATAATTGTTGAATTTTGAAAAATATTGAGTTTGCAGTGAATTATATACAATATTTTTCAAAGTTCAGTAAGTAATGTACAATATTTTTCAAAATTCAGTGACCAGCACTCGATATTTTAAATTTCAGTGAACAATCGAAAACATAGACATAAGTTCAGCGATTAAAACTTGATATTTTTTAAAATTCAATGGTCAAAACTCGACATTTTAAATTTTAGTGATCAATCAAAAATATGGGCTTAAATTTAATAATCAAAATTGGATATTTTAAAGTTCAATAGTCAATTAAAGATATGAACCTAATGAAACCACCGGAACAATTAACTCTACTATTGCTGTTTTTAACAACAGGAAAAAGTGGGGAGAAAATCTTAAATCGAAAGGAATGATGATGTCAAGGTGGGATCGGCAACAACGGCAGCTCCGACTCCAAAGGCACGGCCTCACTTCTCGGAATCTGGGCCTGAAAGGAGGCTTAAGAAGGTTCATTTCCAGAAGAAAAGTCTTCCGATTTCTTTTCATCAGCCTCGCCATCATCACCATCCTTCCCCCTCTTTACTTCCATTTCAAACTCCGTCGATTTTATCAGGTTAGTTACACCCCCCCCTTTTTTCACATTTGCACCATTTTATCTATATATATGTAATGTGTGCGCGAGTACTAATTGGTATAATCTGCATATGTTTATGTAAAGTCGGGATGTCGGTAAATAACAAGGTTGAATAGGTTGTAATATTGGTGCTCTTCGATTCAGTTCAGACCTGTAGGCGTGTGAATTGGCTGAATAACAGTGGTGCAGAACACCTTTCGAATGCGTGTATGAACTGACCTGAACAAGCAGGTCGCATGAAACCACAGAATTTGATAAAAATTGGTTCTTATCCTTTTTTTAACCTAGATATAAATGCTAATTTTAATGATCAAACAACCTGAATAAATCATGCAATGATAGAAAAATTAAATACGACAATGAACACTGGATCTAATGTGGTAAACCTGGTAAGGGAACATCTGGCCTCAATGCCATGGTGAATGATCCACTGTAGAATATACGAATTTTAAGATTTTGAATTACAATTTCTATCAACACGTCAATCTATAATTTATAAAATTAAATAAACAGAAGAATTAAAGAACAATTAATAATTTACCTCTTTTAATTTTTTGACCTCCAAAGGAGTGCAATAAAAAAACTCATTGGTCTTGACCTTACACCATCCCATGAAACTTCTCTTCCTCAAATCAATTAAAGAACCACGTCCTTATCGTCATGCCAAAATGGCATCTTTAAGTTGATTTCAATTCACATAGTTTTCATGTCTTAAGAAAACAATGTTTGGAAAGAACAAGAAGCCATGAACAATTTTCATCGGATATGAAAATTTTAGGCATTTTTCTCTCCCGTCGAGAGCATGAAAGGCACTTTCTTGTGTTGTTCAAGTCATTAACCAATTTTCATGGATCTCATCTTAAATTAAAAAATACTCCAAAAATATCAAAGATTGCACGAAAGAATATAGGTAATAATATATTAAAACAAGTCAAAGGATAATTCTATATAATCTTTGAGTTAATTGAGAAGTCAATAAGGAAAGTACAGTAAGCTGGGATTCCTTGTGGTCTCCCCCCTTTGTTAAATCAAAGATATAAGAAATCTTAATATGGTACCAGTTTGCTGGTTCGCTTGAAACAGAAGTTCACTGCTGCATTTGTACATGCACGTGAACTTGGTGAACTAAATACAATTATTAATACAATGTTCATCTAAATATGACTCTATGAAACACATATTGCACATGCAAGCTCCTAAAAATCCATGAAATCTAGAAAGCCAACCAATTAATAATAATGGAGAGTTAAATAAAAAGCATGTTGCAACACATATATTCGCAACAGTTAACATGACCAGAAACTTTTTCCCTTTTACTTATCTATAAATGATATGAAAATGTTGATTTGCCAAATCACAACTTGTTAGATGTTTTCGATTCCATGAAATAATATAAGAAGTGAGAACTAATTGTTAAGTTTCGGAAGACAATGTTTTTGTAGATTTCTTTCCTAATTTCAAGGGGAAAGATTGCACCTTGCTGTTATGTGATTATGGCGTGCACTAATGCTCAACATGCTACCTAAGTATTTTGCATCTGTATAATTTGATATGTATTCTGGCTAATATTGTTTGAAAGTAGTTTTCTCATTTGAATAAAATATATAAAGAATGTTTTTCCGATCCACTGTCCTTCGGTTCCTTTGCATCTTTGAGATGTAGTCTACTTCTTTTCCTTTTGATGCTTGAAATTATGCAATAAGACAATACAGAACCTATTTCATTCTCCTTTCTACACGATGTTAATTATCTGGAGCAGAAATATACGATGTTCACTTTCATTTCAGGCTGTAGTGCATTTCAATGTCTTACTTTTGCTTTCTCTGGCAGATACAATTGCGGAAGTGCGGTTGGATCAGAAATCCTCCTCTAGTATGTGCTCATGGAGGTGACTCTTCCAAGGCCTTTCCCAACACTGTAGGCATCTTATGTTCCACTTTCTGATCTGTTTTGTCAATATTGACATATTATCTCTACTTGCTGGGATCAAACTTTGCTTATAAACTTGAAAGAGACCTTTGTGAAAGCTCAATCATCTTGCATCTGCTGTGTAAGCAAAGTGGTTTTGAATATATTTTAATTAACATAATCTAGAATCATAGTAGTTTTGTCTTTCTGATAGAAGATAATATGCAGTTGAAACTAAATCTCTTGCTGATAAGATTCCCGAGTGAGTAAAACTTGAGCTCTGGGGAGAGAGTGGGTTGGCCTTGAAGGATTTGCACTTTGCTAAACTATCTTTCTATAACTGAATTATTTTCCGGTATTTTCTTTCATACCTTTCCTGTCGAAACAAACTTGCTAGTGTTTAAGTGTTTGATTCTTGATCAATATTTATATTTTACCCACTTCTACTTGGTGTGGTCCATGTTTCAAATCCCCTGAATAGTGAGATATCATTCTTTTTCATCCTTTAGACATTTTATGGTTTCCAATCCTATTGCAGTTCAATTGAGGCATGTACTGATTTTAAAACACAATTGAGAAAAAACATGCTATTTTGATGGAAACTAGATGGTAAGGTTTTGAAATCAACAGGACAATGTAGTTTCACAGCAACATTAATGAGTATTTTAATAAATAAGTTACTAGTTTGGTTTGATCTTGAAAGTCATCTCCTAGCTTGTCAAGGATAACTGTTATCGTTTGAGCATTTAACTAAATAGGAAAACTAAATCAAAAGAAGAAAATAATATCATCATTGTCAAATTTCTGTTTTTTGTTTTTTTTGTTTTTTGTTTTTTTGGAATTCCGGTTTTAATAATTTGATTTTCCCACAGATGGATGCATATCATATTGCTCTTGGTGCTCAAGCAGATTGTATAGAGATCGATGTGTCTCGTTCTTCTGATGGAGTGTTATTTGCTCTTCACGACAGGTATACATTTGCATTACTTCATGGAAAAGGTTTCACTGTCTTCTCTTTTAATTACGTTCTTTTGTTGTTCATGCTTTTTCTTTATGATATTTCTAATTTCTCTACTCTAAGACCCTGAATAACATAAAACAATTTGCCAAGCCAGGATGAGTACTCTTTATGGTGATCAATCCACTGAATAACACATCTTACCTTGATACTCTGAGGTTAAAAACTATCACTTCCAAAAACATTATTCTTTGGAAGATATACTTAAAAGGGGAACAACAACCAGAAGCTAAACTTTATTCCCAATTGCCCTTCTATATGTATACATGGTTGGGAAATTTAGTTGGAAACTAAATGACTAGATAGAGACAGATTCACAATATTCAGGTGTGAAGGATTTGATCAGATCAGTGGAAGAAAATGAAGTTGTTAGCATTTATTAGAAAAAGGATTAGAAAGGATAACTGACTAAAGTTGAATCATATAAAAAGTTGTTGATTGGTTATTAGGTTAATAGTTATCTTTTCCTCGAATCAACTAAATCATTGAAAAAGGACATAATTTGATGTGTCATCTTTATCACTTGCTAAACCTTATTCCAACTAGACTGAAAAATTAATTATGATTGTTACCTTGCTTGTGTGATTGTTCTATTATTGACTAGATTATTAGATTGCAAAATGAAGTGCAATAAGAGGTTGTTCATACATAAACAAAAAGAAGAAATGTATCAGACGATTTAAACAGTTAACTTCCATCAATAGACATATCTCATCTGGTTTTTTTAGTGCTCTTTAATACTAAGAAATATAATTTTATTTACTGAAAAATAGATCTTTTGTTCCCTTTGACATCCAAAAGGACAGGAAGCTTTCCACATATTCATCTTTCATATCATTGTTTGAAGTGGTTGCCTCGGAAATTGTTGATAAATTGGCATAGAGGTTTGATTCTGACCTGTTTCAGGCAGGGATTTGCAGCGATTATCTGGGAACAGTACTTCCAAGGTCGGACTCTTGAGCATGAAAGAGGTGAACTGTGACTTCAGCTAGTGCACATTTTTTTTTATTTTCTATTTTTTATTATTATTATTCTTATTAATTTTTTTGATATGTATGAGGTTCAGTCTAGACTAGACAATCAGCTAATTTGGAGGTCTAAAGTCACATTTTAGCTTGTGGTTACAGATTACAAAACTGGATTCCAATCATCAGCGCCCATTGCAGTTTCGTAATGTAAATATTTCTACTATTGAAGATGCTTTGAAGGTATTTGAAATTCTCAATTCCTACACACCATAATGCAAACATAGAAAGGGTTCAAGAAAAAGAAAATATACTTAAATTTCTTGCACGGCCATGTTTCTTGCTAAGAAATGATGGAATGAAATAATAATGTTCTGTCATTGTACTGTTTAATATATGTAATTATCATAGATAAATCGTGTAATGATTCAAGTTTATTCTGACATTAGTTTTGTTGTTTCAGTTGGTATCTGGCTCTGTTCGACGGGTGATTCTGGACGCTAAAGTTGGGCCTCCTCTGTATGAAAAAGGACTCGCAAAAGATATTCTTTCTGTTGTAAGCTTATTTTTGATATTGCTAGGTGCTTATAGTGAATTCACTGATTTCATACTGTTGAATATAAGTGTTCCTAGGTGCTTATACTATAAATGTTGGAGATGAATAAGGGGGTGTTTAATAGTCATTTTTATGTAAAAATGCATTTTAGAATAGTAAATTGATGTGAAATGTGTGGTTGAAAAATAAAGAAATTTTTTTGATTTACGTGTAATATTATTTTAATAAAGAATGTGTGGTTGAAAAGAAGAGAGAGAAAAATGCATTTTGAAAAAATGGCTATCAAACGGGACCTAAGAAGTAAAAGAAAACTTTTTGGTGCTCAAGCAGTTGCCATCTAGAAAGAGGGATATGTGCTCGAACTTTTTGAAATTAGAAGTACCTCTAACTTAAAGGCCTTTTATGAAGCCAAATTGATCTGGCCTTCTGCTTGGATTGTCAGTTTATGACTCTGTTCCTCAATATCCATATTTGAAAAAGTTGCTTATATGTGCTACTTAACTATTGTTAAACTTCTGCAGGTTGAAAAAACCAAATGTAAGAACTGTCTTATATGGGCCAAAAGTGACAGTCTAGCAAGGGATGTAATAAAATTGTCGAATGATGTTATGGTAAAAAGCTGATGATATCGTATCACTATTGTTTGCCAATTTGGGCATTATTTCCTTTAATTGTAATTGTAATTTTATGGTTCTGTAGGTAGGCTACATTGTGATGATTGATCCCACAACAGGAACTAGAACGAATTTATTGAGGATGAGAAGTGCTGGGGTTGTTGGTGTTTACCACCCTTTGATTGATGAAAAACTTGTGAAAATCCTCCACAGGTCTGAATGAAAAAGTAGTTTTTTTCCTTTTCTATTGAGTATTCAACTGAGCATTTGTATCAAATATTTATTTATTTATTATTATTATTTTTTTCAATTACAGGAGAAATAAGAAGGTTTATGCCTGGACTGTTGATGAAGAGGACGCCATGCAGAAAATGTTGTTCGAGCATGTGGATGCTGTTGTTACGAGTAATCCCACTTTGTTGCAGCGTTTAATGCAAGACCTGAGAACACAATGTCTTGAGGAAGGTTTTTCAATGTAAGATGTTCAAGATATATAGACTAAATATTAGTTGCTGAAGATATAAAAGGGGCATTTATTGAATCTGGATACGCATTCAAAATATTTCCAGGTATTTTCCTACCTTGCTAGAAAGGAAAATCTAGGGGAAGGGTTTTTGTGAAGGAGATAATTGGTTTCCGTGTTGTCTATGAAATTTTTTTCCTCCTGAATTCTATCATTCTTAAAATGTAATTTGCATAATAACATAAAGGATTGCCTTTTTCCTTGATCAAAACATCATTAAAGTCTAGGCGGGGAGTTTGTGACTCTACCTAGACCTAATGGGGGATTTTGATTCCCCGCTGTTTAAGGATAACTATTGATATAAAATCCAACAATAAATGATAATATTAGTAACAACTCTAGCTAATATTTTGATAAACGATATTATTCTTATTTGTATGATTGAACGTCATAATTAATGTAGAAGAAATGGAGCAAAATATATAGCCCTTGTTTGACCTTCATTTTTTAAAATTCATTTTACCCCCCTAAACTCATTTTTAATCACACATTTATGGGACTCACAATTTTTATCTACTTTTTAACTAGATATTTATGAATTTTAATCAAAATTTATAAAAATATCAAATTTTTAGCTATACCAACCGAGAGATATTTACACATTTTTACTTTTAGTTTCATATATGTACTTCAAAATTTTACTAATATTTGTGACTTGAATTGTTGATTGTTTGATTAATTGTGACCTTGGATCTATTTGTGTGACCTTAATATTATTTTTGCTTATAATAACTTCTATCTTTGCAACATGGGAGTTTTTAGAATCTCTTCAAGAAATGAAAATAACATATTCATGCGAGGTTGTGGGGCTGGATTCTGGACAAAAGAAAATTATCTACAGACCATCACGTCGTTTCCTTATCAACCTTTTATTTCCGGTTGCCACGCAAATTTATTTCCTAAAATTCTCTTGTTATTTTTGAGGACCTAATTTCTGAAAACATTGTAATTTTTTAGTATTTTAAGAAGTCATAAAGTTTCATAGTATTTTTTCCCTTTAGGATAATCAAATACTATTAAGTATTCAATTGACAAAGATTCTTACTCGGATCACGTTTCGTGTCGTGCATCGGAATAGCAACAATCTACACAATAAGCTCCTGTTTGACAACCATATTTTTGGGGGAAAAAAGGAATTTGGAATTGTGATTTTTAGGAGAAATGCGTGGCTAAAATGTAAGGGAAAATTTTTAGGTTTACATACAGAATATTATATTATGTAAATGTGTGGTTGAAAATTAAAAGTATATTTTAAGTGAAATCTGGTTTTCCTTGTCTTGTCTTATAACAATCCAAGAAATGTAGCCAAATTATGCTTAACCTTGTTTTCATTTCCGTTGCTTAATGGATCAATCATTTGTACCTTTAAGCGCCAATGCATTCAAGATTTTCCAGTGGAGTCGATGTCGATGGTACCGACAACTATTCATATATTGAAACATCTCGCAGAGTCATGTGACTACTCATTTTGTGAAAGCCTTGAAGACAGAAGTCATGCCAACCAAGTAATAGGAATGTCCGTTCTTGTAATCTATATGATCTCTCTATATAAATATTCATTGTTGTTGGAAGATACACGAACGGGCTTAATACTTGGCTAAAGCGGAGAGGAAGTAATGGATTTTTTTGAATTTAAAAGCACTGAAAATGAAAGCAGGAATGAGCTATTTTAGGCCGAGCCCCTCTTAAATTGTACTTTATTTAAATTTTTATTCGTAAAAAATACTTTGCAATAGATCCTTATTGATTTTTTTTTTAAAAAATAAAAAAATAAAAATCCAATTTTGTTGTTGTTTAATTTTTCTGGGCTTTAAATTTGACCTGCTAACAGCACGTTGCACTATTGATGAAATGAAGAGCAACTATGCATCTAGGTATGATGAGATGATCCCCACCACTAGACTAGTACTACCACTACAACCACCATCAAATCCATAATTTAAGCATAAATATATTGATACATTTCAATTAATCTCACATTCATGGACAATTAATTAATTAATTAATATCAAACGTTTTCTTCACCTTTTCGCCTAATTTACAGTATTTTGTTATATTCATATGTGCCAGCTATCCCATCCACTTTTCAACTAAATTAAGGAGTCAACTCTTTGTTATATATGCAGATAGTGTATGTATCACGATGAAGAGAGAAAATCGTACTGCGATGTCGATCTTTACAAGCACATTGATGTCAACAGGTTCAGTTTGACTCACAAGTATCACTTGGATACATTAACTATATTAATATATAGAATACAATGGTGTTTTAAAGTAAAATTATAACAAGGTTAAGCATAATCTGGCTACATTTACTATAATTCGGGATGAATGTACCTTATTAATAGTTAAAGAAAGTTGGTCCTTAACCAATTATTGACTAATTAAGCCATGAAAATCAAAACAAAGTTAAGTAAAGTGGACAAGGTAAAACGTATACAATTTATCTCACATATGGTACTCAATCAACTATTTAATTAATTAGTCACACTCCTTCATTGCTACTCATTAGTCAAGTCTCTTGACAATTCAATTGTCACGCTATACTATAGAAACCTTTTCATGATTAACGCTATTTTTAGATAGTACTTATTCCAATTTCGATTATGTTTTTAGATATTTATTTAATGATTTAACTCAATTAGTCATCTTATGTCATTGACGATTTATTTATCTCATTAATATCTTAATTATGCATAAAACGAAACATACTCATATATAATGTAATTAATAAACCACAAACTCTTGAGGATAATTGGGAAGCACTAATCTTGTGCTCTCATGATTTCTTCCACGACTTTTAGAGGAATTCAAGTAATATTGAATGTTTTAAAGAGGTAGAAATTGAAACTACCTTCCCAACAAGGTCAGAAGGTTCAACAACTTTATGATTACAATTACAGAAAGAAGCACATAACAAAGTGGGGATTAATGCTCCACTACCAATAAGTTATGTCCCAAAACAGAGGGATTGATTGACATATTTACAATACAAAAACCAGAATGATCGTGCAATGGGTACATGAATGGGGGGACAACAACAGTTCATGGTTCCCCCAAACTCCCAATTTTGATAGGTTAAGTATTACTGGACATTAAATTGGGACAAACATACTGTATAGCGGTACATGTGACCATGGTGGCTGTGGCTGATTATTTTTAATGAATTTTGTTGCTGGTGGGCTCACCCCACTTCATCATAGTCAACTTGTATTGGCAAAGAAGATGACAAAGAGGGCGTTATAAATACTGAGGCTGGATCCATTGAATCACTGTCTCAGAATCACCAAAGAACCTATACGATCAAGATAAGTTATAGGGTTTGGCTCTTGAAAACATATAATATAATTTTTGTTTTAGATCTGTCAAAAGGAAGAGATTCTTGTGTCAAATAAAGAGGAGACATTAGCAATATTATCTACATCTAAACAGCATAGAAGAAGAAGAAGTGAAAAATACACATATGGAGGACACGGCTGTTGATTGGAGAGGAAGACCTTGCAAACCTAATAAACATGGTGGAATGACTGCTGCAGTTTTTGTATTAGGTTTTTCTCTCACTCTAATTTAGACTTCAGTACTGTATCTAGTGGAAGATTAAGGGTAGAGAGATTTGTGTGCTTTAATTAGCATGATCATCATATATTATAGCTAGATAGCTAGTTAGTGCTTATATTATATATTTACGGTAATAAATATTTATGCGTTGGTGGGCACTGGACTGTAGGGCTTCAGGCTTTTGAGATGATGGCAATTGCTGCGGTTGGGAATAATCTTATCACCTATGTGTTCAATGAGATGCACTTCCCTTTATCAAAATCTGCTAACACAGTTACAAACTTCATTGGAACTGTTTTTCTCCTGTCTCTCTTTGGTGGCTTCCTCTCTGACTCGTATCTCGGGAGCTTCTGGACTATGCTGATTTCCGGCTTCATCGAGCTCTCTGTATGTTTCTCTGACCCCTAACCCTCTGTATTATATGATCATAGAGTGTTTTTAACCCTCTCTATGTTGGTTAGCAGGGATTCATCTTATTGTCAGTTCAAGCCCATATAGTGCAACTCCGGCCGGCACAGTGCAACATGATGGAAGTGAGCAGCAGCTGTGAGGAAGCGAAAGGGTACAAGGCGGGGATATTTTATGGGGCACTTTACTTAGTAGCTTTAGGGAGTGGTTGTTTGAAGCCTAATATAATCTCTCATGGAGCTGATCAGTTCAGAAATAATAATGATTTGAAGCAGTCAAAAAAACTTTCCACTTTCTTCAATTGTGCCTACTTCGCCTTCTGCACCGGCGAGCTCGTGGCACTCACCATATTAGTCTGGGTTCAAACGCACTCTGGAATGGACGTCGGATTTGGAGTTTCTACGGCTGCCATGGCTATGGGATTGATGTGCCTGATATCAGGATCCTTTATTTACAGGAACCAGCCACCAAGGGGAACTATTTTCACACCAATTGCTCAAGTATGTATATCTATATTTATACTCACCTCTCTTTGATTCATTATCTTATCATTAATTTGTAGAGATTATATTTAATGTTCTTTTTGATATTTCTTTAACTTCAAGGTTTTTGTAGCTGCAATAAAGAAGAGAAAACAGATCAGCCCTTCAAATGCTGGGATACTACATGGAAGCCAAAAAAATATGTTAACAAACGTTACCACTGGAAATCTAATCCATACGCAAAAATTCAGGTTATTCTCATGCATGAATATTTCCTTGTGTTTGATAATCAATTATTTTTGAAGTTTTTAAAAAATTGAAAATTAATTTTTCAGGTTCCTTGATAAAGCCTGCATCAAAACAGAAACCGGAAACGAGATGATTGATGAAAGTCCTTGGAGGCTTTGCACAGTGTCACAAGTGGAGCAAGTGAAAATCCTCCTCTCCGTCATTCCAATCTTTGCATGCACAATAATCTTCAACACAATTTTAGCTCAACTCCAAACATTTTCAGTTCAACAAGGCACAGCCATGAATACTCATCTTACTAAAAATTTCCAAATCCCACCAGCATCTCTCCAATCAATACCATACATGATGCTTATATTTATGGTCCCTCTTTATGAGACTGCATTTGTACCAATGGCAAGGAAAATCACAGGGAAGGATTCAGGAATTTCACCTCTACAACGAGTTGGGACAGGGCTTTTTATTGCGACGTTCTCAATGGTTTCGGCTGCATTAATTGAGAACAAGAGAAGAAATAATGCAATAAAGTTTCACAAAACTTTGTCCATATTTTGGATAGCTCCACAGTTTCTGGTATTCGGGCTCTCGGAAATGTTCACTGCGGTGGGTCTGGTCGAGTTCTTTTACAAACAATCGATAAAAGCCAACGGAATGCAGTCTTTTTTAACAGCCATGACTTACTCATCTTACTCATTTGGATTTTATTTGAGTTCCCTTTTAGTTTCATTAGTAAACAAAATAACATCATCAGGATCAAGTACTGGGTGGCTGAGTGAGAATGACTTGAACAAGGACAGACTTGACCTCTTCTATTGGTTGCTGGCTGCACTTAGTCTCATCAATTTCTTCAACTACATTTTCTGGTCCAGATGGTATTCTTACAATCCAATATCTTCTTCATTGCATACTCCACCACTTGATGGAGTAGAGGACCCACAGAAAAAAGTAATTTCAGCTCTTTAATATTGTAGCAGCACTGATAGTGTAACATTATCTAATTAAGTTTATATAGATTTTTACCTTCTTTTTTTTTTAATTATAGCTAGCTAGCTAGTAGTAGTAGTGTGGTTGAAATAAATTATAACTGATGAAATGATTATATTTTGTATGATGATTTGATGCACCGAGTGAAGCTGCTAGGTTGACAACTATGCACTTAATTTTTTTGCTTATACCTTTTCTATTAGAGATTATATATTTGACTATTAAGTCTGACATTGAAGGGGGTCTCTAATTAGTTTATTAAATGTATATAGTGCCACAAGTAATCATGGTTCTTAGTTTTATATATTGTAAAAGTCCTACACGTTATGTTCAAAGGGTTAGCCTTTGCACAACTAACGTTTCTACTACAAGTGTCATGTTAATCACCATAGTTTTTAGAATAATTTCATGGGTACAAGTATTATTGATGGAAATGGTAAAGATGCTAAGTTGGCAGCACTAGTATGGTGCATTTTCTGTGTTTGATGTGTTAAAAACCAGTGAAAAACAATCGAGTGTCTTTTTGTAAGATCTTGACAAAAATTTTCTGTACTTGTAGCAAAACTATTGTTTTATGGGTTCAATGGAGGATGATTTCACCAGCATGTTTGGCTTAAGAGTTATATTTATTTTACATATTGGCTTAGGTCATTATCACGTTTCATATAGACAATCTTTATAGTAAAGAACATGATTAAACATAAAATGAATAAGATTAAAAGTTTTCTCATTTTTAATATATAATATTGTTCAATATTACATGATTGTTCCTATTGAACATACGAGTTTCAAATGAAATTTCAAATCAGGGGCATAAATCAATGCAAATATATAAAGAACGCAAGCGATTTGTTTTCAAATATATGATGAAATGATTTATGTTGCCGTTGAAAATCCACCGAAGAGAATAACTATCAAATAATATCTTCAAAGTTCAAGGTTATATCGCAAGGTCGTGAAAATTTTATTGATCTTTCAAATAACTTCTCCGAAGAATTAAACACCCAAATACGAAAAACAAAACAAGTAACCTTCTTTCCTTAAAAAAATAAGTAACCTTCTTTTCACTTCTTACCTAAGTAGGTTGTTCCTCCATTTGCAAATTTACAAATCAGTCAGATGTTGAATATTATTGTTCAAAAATCAATAAAACGTCTGTGGAATGGAAAGTGATATGGAGGTCAAATATATTGACCTATGCAATTGCGTAGGCCATAAAGGTGTGCGGTCGCATGGTCCTTTGTAGGCCTAAAGGCCTTGCCTTTGGACCAATTATTCGGTTGCATGGGTTTATTCTATGAGACAGCATAGAACAAAATTCTAGCTATTGGCTGAAATTTTTAAGGTGAAATCTTGTGTCTTTTGGACTTTTTGGCACCATTTTGTATAATATTGATTGACGGTTATAAATAGGTGTTGAATGATCTATAATTTACACATATGAATTATTAGAGAAAACATAATACTCCACAAAAGATCAAAATATCCTTCTATCACATTCAAAAATCCTTGATTTGTGTTCTTAAGTTTTTGACAATTTCACTAAGTGCCTAAGTGTTAATCATTTTCAAGGCTTGAAAAATACTGCAAACCATTTGCAGAATGTCCCTTTAAGCATCAAGTTCAATTTGAGAGGGGGTAAATATTTTTGAAGAAAACGATCACGTGTTTGAGCCTTCATCCAATTTCTTTTGTTTTTCTTTTTGTTTCTTCATTTTGTTATTCGTTTTTTCACCATCCCCTTCTGTATAAACCCTATTTCCAACAATCTCAAATAATATTTTGCAATGGAAAATAAAACCATTATACCGACGATTAAGTTGATGAATGAAGACCTTGTTTATTTAGACCATTTTGATGGAACAAACTTCACAAGATGGCAAGACAAGTTGAAGTTCCTACTCACGGTGTTGAAAATATTTTACGTTCTTGATCTGGAATCGACACCTCTACTAGAACAATAAAATGAAGAAACAGATGCCGTAAGAGCCGAAAGACAAAAGCGTCAAGAAGATAAACTTATATGATGCTACCATTCTCAATGCTCTACCCGACCGGTTGTATGATCTCTACAACAAACATCTTTGGCAAAAGAANATAAACTTATATGATGCTACCATTCTCAATGCTCTACCCGACCGGTTGTATGATCTCTACAACAAACATCTTTGGCAAAAGAAATGTGGGAAACTTTGGAAAATGAGTACAAAGTTGAAGAAGAAGGTACCAAGAAATTCTTAATTTCAAGGTATTTTGATTTTAAATTTCTTGATAACGTATCACTTTTCTCCCCAAATTTATGAGTTGCAAGTCCTTGTCAATAAGTTGAAGGCGGTCAAAATTGAGATCCCGAAAACTTTCCAAGTGGGAGCAATTATTGTAAAAACTCCTCAGAACTTGAAAATGATGTCGGAAGAAAATTATGCATAATTCCGAATATTACACTTTGGAACAATTGCAGTAACATCTTCGCATTGAGAAGAGTCAAGAATGAGACCAATGTCGTGGAGAAGACCAAATATTCTAATAAATTCAACAAGAGAAAATCTTCAAAGAACTTTAACAAGTTTAAGAACAAGTCCAAAGGTGGTTGTTTTATATGTGGAAAACTTGGACATTAGACAAAGGAATGTCGACACCGAAAATAAAACAACTCTGAAAGAAATGTGAACTCCATCAAAGAAGAGAATATTGTAGCCACCATAAGCGAGATTAATACAATCAAATGAAAAGCTCCTGGATGGTGGTATGATATATGTGCAACTATACATGTATCATATGACAAGTCATTCTTTAAAACATATTATGAAGTTGATAGAGATCATGAAATTCAAATGGGTGATGAAGTTCGTTTCAAAGTGGTTGGAAAAGGAAATGTAGAAATTATTTTCACTTCCGACAATACCGTTACCTTGACAAATGTGTTGCATGTTCCCACTATGAATAGGAATTTAGTTAGCGAAAATCTCTTAAGAAAATCAGGAATAAAATGTGTTTATAAGTCCGGTAAACTTGTATTATCTCTAAATAGAAAATTTATTAAAAAATGCTATTCTTGTGAATGAATAATTAAACTTTGTATCATTGACAAGATGATAAATAGTAAAGTTGATTTTGCTTATATTATTGATTTATTTACTTTGTGGCATGCTAGATTAGGTTACATGGGTAAGAGTGCTATGAAAAGAATGTTAAAATGTGACTTAATATCATATAAAGAAAACGATGCATTCAAATGTAAAACATATGTAGAATTGAAGATGACTAAGGGGTCTTATCAAATTGTAAATAAGACTTCTCGTGTTTTAAAATTAATGCATGCGGATATATGTGAATTAAATGATACATTAACTAGAGGTGAAAATATATATTTTATTACATTGTAGATGATTACTCTAGATAAAAATATGTTTACTTGATGAAATATAAATATGAAGCTTTTAATATGTTTCAAAAATATAAGAATGAAATTGAAAATCACTTAAGTAAGAAAATAAAAACATCATGAAATGGTAGAGAAGGTGAATATTTTTTTAGTTATTTTAATTTGTTTTGTGAACAAAAAGTCATAATTCATCAATGTTCTGCATCTAAAATGCTTTAACAAAATGGTTTAACTGAAAGAAAAAATAGAAATTTAGTCGAAATGATAAATGCTATGTTAGATTATACAAAGTTGCTATTTAATTTTTGGGGTGAAACATTGTTGAGTGCATGTATAATATTAAATAGGATTCCTTCCAAATTTACAAAGGTTTCTTCTTCTGAACTATAAAAAAGAAGAAAACCTAACGTTGAATACTTCAAAGTATGAAGGTGTCTTGCTTATTGTAAGAATACGAACCCTAAAAGGATAAAGTTAGGTTTAAGAGGTATTAAATGTGCCTTTGTTGGATATTAGTAATAGCAAATCATATAGATTATTGAATTTGGAGATCAATGAGATTATTAAATCCAATGACGTAGAGTTCTTTGAGAGTTCATTATTTTCGGATAATAAATTAAGGGAAACTCTTAAAAAGATCTCTAACTCTCGTGAAACACAAGATGAAACATCTTCTAAAGACGTTCCATGAATTTAGTGAACCTCGAAGAAGCAAAACAACTCGAATTGAGTGATCGGATAAAATTGGTTCTCAACTTATTTGCTTTTACTTTGTTGAGGGAAATGAGAAGATGTTGTATGAACTACTCCTTTTGTTCTACAAGTGAAAATCGATCATAAAACTTACAAAGAGGCTATAACTTCTCGTGATAACATCTTTTGGAAAGATGCAATTAAAGATGAAATGGATTCAATTATGTTAAATAATACATGAGAACTTGTTGATTTACCATCTGAATCCAAACTTATTGGATATAAATGAGTGTTTATGAGAAAATATAATATTGGTGGTTTTTTAATACCTTTAAGGCTAGACTTGTAGCCAAATATTATAGACAAAAGGAAATAATAGACTATTTTGGTACTTTTGAACCGATAGCTAGAATAACATCAATTAGAATGTTATTCGCATTGGCTTCCTTATATGACTTGCATGTTCATCAAATGGATGTCAATGCAACATTTTGAATGGGGATCTCGATGATGTGGTTTATATAGAATAACCAAAAAAGGGTTTGCTTTACCTAGAAATGAACATAATGTGTGTAAGTTAATGAAATCATTATACAGTTTAAAACAAGCACCTAAGAAATTACATGAAAATTTTGACTTAGCTATTATTTCATTTTGTTTTAAGCATGATAATGTAGACAAATGTTTGTACTCCAATCATGTGATAACTATGTCACATTTATTTGCTTATATATTGATAACATATTGATTATGAGTAATCACATGAATGGAATAGTTGAAACGAAAAAATTTCTATCTTTCACATTCAAGATGAAAGGTCTTGGATAAGTGAATTCCATTTTGAGTATCGAAGTTACTAAAACTGGTGGAGTTACCATTTAAGTCAATCATATAATATCGAGAATGTGATAAATAAGTTCAAATATTTGAACACAAAAGAATTTACTACCCTTCTTGATCCAAATTTAAAACTCATAAAGAATGATGGAAGAGAAGTTGCTCAAAGTATGCAAGTACTATAGGGAGTCTAGTGTATACGGTTCAATTCATAAAATCAGACATAGCTTTTGCAATCAGTAAACTTAGTATGTTTACTAG